CGATCCAATTCTTGCATAAATTTTGTGAATACTGGCAGCATATCTTTACCTGTTAGCACATCATAAGATTAGGACATTTTCTGTTTGCATCATAGAAGTATGAAATCATTCAACATTTGTACCGACCAACAGTCTTGCCATTGTGTGATACTGAATAAATACTAGTTTACACTGAATCAATTCTTGCATAAATTTTGTGAATACTGTATTTTTTATTTTCTTAAGGGGAATGACTTCTGTCTGCCATTTGCCTGTGTTACTTTTGACTTCTTTAGTTGAAGAGTTGCAATAATTTTATGCAACTATGTGAAAATATTTCTTTTTACCACAAAATTAATATTAGGGGTCATTAATTGATATCTTTGCTATATATTTTGCAGATATTTTTTCTTCAAGGAAGGTTTATATTTGGTCCTGATGGGAGATCATTGTTCCTCACCATATTCATGATTGTAGCGCCTGTATCAATCTTCTGTGCATTGGTTGCTAAAAAACTAATGGATGATTTTTCCACTACTCTAGGTTTACCGGTAATGGTTGCAGCTATTGTTTTCACCTTATATGTAAGTATTTCTTCATCTTAGTCATTTTATCATGACTTTTTTATTTGTATCTAGTTGCTTTATTTTGGATGCTGCTTTCAAAATCTATAGATTCTAACATGGTTTAAAAAATGGGACCAACGGGTTCACCCCTGAATGAGCACACAGACCAGGCTAAACCACCTGGTCCAGTCCTGTTTGGTATTACGGGTGGTTGTTTCCAGCCAGAAACTAGGCTTACTGCTTGATTTGTTACTGTTAATAGGCTTGAATCAGGCGGCAACCTCACTATCCGGCTCTTGGATGCAAAAAAAGGCCATTAGGTTCTATATTAATCTCTCGCAAAAGTTCCTCTCTCAATTTATCTGGCATCTCATCCTCTCATTCTCTCTGAATCCCTCTAAAATCTCATCCAATCTCACTCAAATCCTCAAGGGGACGCTCAAGTTCAACAAGTAGAAAGTTAATTTCAAGATGCGAACCACATTTTCATCAAAATCAATTAAATCTGAACTAATCAATATGATTGCTCTCTGTTTATTTGCAAATGATAAAGGACATATTGCAATAGTTATTTAATGAATCTAGGTTAGTATTTAGGCCCTTTTCCTTGATGGATTTGATGCTTGATCCACAAATGAAGCCTTAAAACTCTTGGATCTAGCTTAGATTTGCAAAAATCAAGTCCTGATCCATGCAAATATATCTAGGCTACATTCAGTTAGATTTTCATGGATCTGGCTTAGATCCATTTGGATTTTCACGGATCTAGTCTAGATCCATTTGGCCTATCTTATCTAAGTACACATTTAGGCTTGCATTTATTATCTTAATATCTGGACCCAGCTCATCTCAGTCACTTGGGCCTATGCTCTTGCCCAAGCTTGGTAAAACTGAAAGCCGGTCCATTGCAGTCACATATGCATTATAGTCAATCTTTCTTCAAGTATAACTTCACAATCTTTTAATTTAATATATTAGTTATCTATTTCTTTTGAGCAAGTGGTTCACTAGGCTATAGTTTGTTCACTCTATGTACATTACAAAACATGGAATATTCTCTGTTCTTTAAGTGTCTACTAACTACTCTAAAAATCTTAAGACATCTTAAAAAATGGAATAACATCTTAACTGTTTTGTCATTTGTTGCATCCATAACCTCCATGAACCACTTAATTTTAATCTTTACCTGGTGTCTATTTTCTTTTGTTCAAGTGAAAAAATGTTATGATTTCCATTGAATTATTCAATAAAATTTTTATAAAATATCTATTAGATAAAAAGCATGACATGGGCTTTGCTTTTCAGGATTTAACACTTCTCCTTCTTGCCTCTGGTAGAGATCCGGGTATAGTACCTCGTAATGCACATCCTCCAGAACCCGAAATCTTTGAGGGCAATACTGAAATTGGAGGTGTCCGAACTCCACAATTACGCTTACCACGGACAAAGGATGTAAATGTGAATGGGATAATTGTGAAGGTGAAATACTGTGACACTTGCATGCTCTATCGACCTCCTCGTTGCTCTCATTGCTCGATCTGCAATAACTGCGTTGAACGTTTCGACCATCACTGCCCATGGGTTGGACAATGCATTGGGCTTGTAAGTTGCAAATTCTCATGCAAATGTTTGATTCTGTTTTTATGCCAATATGCACTAAATTAACAAGTGAATTCGCCGAGAGACTAATGAAATCTTAAAACTGTGTGCAATCCATTCCTGCTAGATGAATACTAGTATGAATTATTTGAATTAATTGCTCTTGACAAAGATGTCTTTGGATCAAAAGATGATCTTTTGGGAGTTTATTTCTTCTGGCTATTACTGATGCCTGTTGTTTTAACTACAGAGGAACTATCGATTCTTCTATATGTTTGTCTTCTCAACAACTTTACTCTGCCTCTATGTCTTTGGATTTTGTTGGGTGTACATAGTAAAAATCAGAAACGCGGAACAAATTTCTATCTGGAGAGCAATGACCAAGACTTTAGCTTCCATTGTTCTCATAGTCTACACTTTTTTATCTGTTTGGTTCGTGGGTGGCCTTTCAGTCTTCCACTTATATCTGATGAGTACCAATCAGGTAATATTCCAAGTGACTGGTTGTAAGAAGTTTGATAAGTATCTTCTGAATATTTTCTTCGACAATTTCTTTGTTTGTTGGCCAGACAACTTATGAGAACTTCAGATACCGTTATGATCGGAGAGCTAACCCATATGACAGAGGGGTGGTCAAGAATTTTAAAGAGATCTTTTTTACAAGCATCCCTCCCTCGAAGAACAAATTCCGGGCAAGGGTGCCACAAGAACAACGTTTTCAACCACGTTCTACAGGTGGAGGTTTCATGAGTCCAAACATGGGGAAAGCAGTGAGTGACATTGAGATGGGTAGGAAGCCTGTGACATGGGATGAATTAAGGGCAATCACACAGATTGGTGATCTGGAAGAAGGTCTACACAATGCAAATATAGAGGATGACAAGGTTCGTGAGCTTGGCGAAGCATCCACAGATTTAAGCAGAGAGGCAGTTTCAACAAGGAGCATGGAAGTGCAAGCTGCATTGCACGATAGACGCTCAAGTTGGGGCAGAGGTGGGAGCTGGGAGAGAACATACGAGCTTCAGCCTGTGGAAGCTGCAAGGGGGGAAACGAATAGGATGGCCAGTGGCAATGGTAGCAGCAACATTGCCACAGGAAACTAGTGAGGTATTTGGACAGGGACACACACACTTGAGGTTTGGAATCTTGTAGATGTAGGATGTGCATTATGAAAGGGCTGTTGTATCTTCATGTGATTTGGTTTGTGAGCTACCCAGGGGGTTGCATAATTTGTAACTCTAGATAACTGTTGTCTTGTAATTTGGTTTGTGTTTTCCAGTCTTTTCTCTACCTCTGCTTCTCCTTTAACTTATGCCGCAATTGGTGTCCTCATAATTTGACATTTAAAGACACTGGTCACGGACTGGACTCCTTTGTTTGGCATGTATATACATACCTGTATTTGTGATTTCAGAAGAGCTTGTAATCAGTTGGTCCTGCCTCAGGTTTCATTCTTCTTCTTCTTCTTCTTCCTGTTGACATGATTCATCACGTGGGTTTTTTCTAATTCTGATGTTAATGTGGGATATTGTTAGGATTCTTAGTCAACATGCTACTAATGGTGCTTTAAGCTTGGATATCGAAGATGTTTATGGCTTGATGAAGGAAATCCAATTTCTTGATGTTGGTTGAGTGGTAATTGGTTTGAAGTGCCTCATCACTTGATTCAGTCTTATCTGCTTAGGACCTCTTTGAGATCTGTTTGACGGAGGTCAAGTGCATGCCTTTGGGACAGAGTTGAGGAGTAAATTTTCTTAGCCTAAAATGTTCTTTTGACTCGTATTAATCTTATATTGATCGAGGAGTAGAAAAAATAATAGTGGGCCTTTTGGGCTCACCTTGAAGGGTAAAACTATACGAAATTATTAAGAACTATTTATGTGCTAGATGAAGATTAAAGGATAATTAAGGGTATTTTATATTATCAAGGTCTAAAATTATCGAATTACATTTATGAACTTAAGTCAAACAAGAACATCGCAACTTAAGTTATTGTCTTTACAAAAAAAGACTTCACTACCGTGATTCATCTAAATTTATATGTAATATACTTTTTGTTTGATTATCTATGGATCTTTCCTTTGATCAATTTGTGGATTTGTATGTGAATGTACAGAAAACGTTAATATGTGTTGGGAGGAAGAGAAGACATTGAAACTAAAAGATATCTCAAACTTAATTTAGGTATTAATCCGATAGATGAAATTAGTGGATATTTGCTTGTTATGATTCCAAAATTAAATAGCAACTGTAACAGGTTGATGTTTTTTAGTAGTCTCATCAATCTGTTTCCATTAAAATCGGGTGTGTGTCTGTATATATATATATATATATATATATATATATATATATATATTTTTTTTTTTTTGCTGTACACGGTAGCAAACGTCACGTGCAAATGCTATGACCTGACAGAATCTCCACGTAGGATTTGCCTCGGAATCAGAGAAGCACGCCTATGCCCACGTGGACATCCTCCCCACCGCCACAACCAACGCACAGAACCGGGCGGCAGCCGTCCTCCACTCGCCTCCGACACATCAACCACCGCCAGTACGGAGTCCGTACCGGCCCGCGCCCTTGTCGACCTGCCGTCCCAAAATTCCCTATACGCGTCACGCTCCCATTGGCAGACTCGCTGCGTCCTCGTACGAGCGGAGGCACGAGTCGTGTTGGGATGGCCGCCGCCTTTACGTCGGACGGCGAGACCAAACTTGAATCTTGTTCTTTAGTTGTCTTGCTCGTCCGCCTTCTCGGCAGATTCATTAAGGCGGAGCACGTCATATGGCAGGGAGGAACAGCACCACCCCACCGGTAGTGGCCTCCCACATGCTCTGCATCATCTCCCATGACTCGCGAGCTCAGAGATTGGCTCATCAAGATGTCACATCGATCTCACCTTTCCTAACGTAATCCATGCATTATTACTATCATGATGAGAGGCTTATCGAGTCTCCATGCAACCATATCCAGTGGGCGATGCCGCAGTGGGCAAGTTGCAGTTGTTGATGCAGAAATGGCAGATCAAGAGGACCTTCCGGGGGATCTCTAAAGCTCGCCTCAGAATGCAAAGTGTGAGCTGGATCGCTCTGGCCTCCCTAGACGACCTTGAACACCACCACCCTTATCCAGAGTGCTGGGTTAAGGAAGATTTGGCAAAGGCCACACAGGCCTGCACTTCCAGCTTTCATTAACCACCCATGGCTTCCTGACAAAGAAAAGAGAGGACGAGCTTCATGGCTTCCACCCATCTCCCACTTGTTCAAGTGGTCGCATTATTATTCTTGAATCCCCCTGAAATGGTACTGAGTTAGAAGGACAAAGGGATCTCCAACACATCTAAGGTCAGTAAGAAAAGGACACAGATATGTTTCTCCTGCAGTCTCATATGTCTTTGTATCAGAATGATACAGTGTTCCAACATACCATCACAAGGCCACCCTATATATGCATCTAAAGAAAAGACCGCGTGAGAGTATGGACAAAGCCAAGTGGAAGCCGAAGGACTTCAGTGCTCCTCCTCCATTGTATTCTTCTACGGCAGCAAGTCATGAAAATATTAAGCTCAGTCCTTTACTCAGAAACATAATACATATAAGTCGACTGTTCTACAGCAGTATTAACATACTTCCCCTTTGTTTACCACGCAAAAGAAATAATTTGGTTTTAAGTTGAAGCATGAAGAGATTTTTGCGAGGATTCCTGTCTTCAGATAGCTACCGAGCATCAAAGATCTGTCTCAGGAGAACACAAAAGCCAAATCCTAACTTGTCCTGATTCGATCAAGGTGCCTTCCCAACGTTGACTCTGGGAGTACAAGACTGCTACACCCTTCAGTCCTCATAGGGAAGGTGTCCATGGAACTGGAATCTATGGGATGGTTGACTTTGCTCCCCATATACATCATTACAAGATCATGCATTACCATTTCACGCACACGGTTAAATGTCAAACCGGACACTTAGTGCTGGCCTTCAACTGGTAATTCCAATTCATAGGTCCACAACTGAGAGCACATATTACGAAAAGAGCTATTCATGTTCTTATCGTCTACGGCAGATTATTTGGTAACCACTGCCACAGCTTTCGTTGGAGATGAAAAGCATGGCATTGGTAATGGGCAAGAATATGCAGGTCATATTCGCATTACATTGTAAGACTCAAGCGACAAGAATCTTCCCAGTTGTGAGGACTATTGTTGTTGCCACATCGATTGGAACTTCACCCACTAAATGATTTCAGTTCAACATACTGCTTCATCGACTTTGATCCTCCTCTACAATTGATAGCATGGTTACTGATCACTGAGCAAAAGCCTCTTTCACTGGCTAGAACTGAAAACCATCACAAGAAATCTTCTTGTTTTCTTGGGTTCAGTTAAGTTCAACAACAAAAAGCATGGTGTAAGTTTGAGTAGAGAAGGTGAAGACATTAAGATAGCTTTGTTGGATGCATGAGAAGAAGGGGGAAAACCAAGACTGGGGACTACACACAATTATGGCCAAAACAAATCTCTTATCCTTCTCAACCAGTCTTTCTATATAAACGACTCAAACTCTTGCTTTCAAACCAAACAAGCAAATACTATAGGGTACACAGGAGCAAACTACTGGAAGAAAGAGAACAAAGAGGAACAAGTCTTTGCTTGTTGTCCCTCACCTCCCTTGAAATAGTATAGAATAAGGCTTCACGGTTAAGTAAGTTAATGAGGACACAATAAGGGAAAAAGAGTAGTCCACTGAATGTTGGCAGCAGAAGTGAAGAGGACCTTTGATTCTGATACTCTTAGCAAATTCTAGTAAGATTAGACACTAACATCTTCAGGTATATCATTTATGCTGACTAAACTTGTATAAAGATTTGAAGAAAGTTCAAAAATTTCATCTGCCTACAAATGGGAAAAGTTAACTCAACTGAACTTATTGGGATTTTGGAGGGACATTTCCTTGTGTATTCAGATTCTAAATATCAACAACTAGAAAAAAAAATGAAGCTCACATTTTATGGTTTTTTTTTTTTTTTTTTTGTGATATGCATAGGGTAGCTTAGGCTGAACAAAAACTCCAGGAAAGACTCTAATCTCATCTTCCACAACAAAATTATCTTTTCTCAAGAACAGCAAAATGAGTTGCATATCTTATGCCACTGACTAATGAGTAAATGGGGGACAAAAGAAAAAAAAATTCATGCTGGAAAAGGAATTGAGATAATTTTGGACAAGGTGGCAAGAGAGATCATGGGGGGAGTAAAACACGAGATGTGATCTTGTTCTTGTGAGAGTGAGTGGTTGGCTTCTCTGAACAAGTTGTAAAAAGTGTCAGCAATAACAGGGTGGTGGATGGATCATGCGCTCATGCAACTGTTAATCTCAATGTAAACAGCTCTCTTGTATCTCACTTTATATTTTCTCTCTCTCTCTCTCTCTATATGTTTTTTTTAATCTTTACTGTCTCCTCTTCTCACCTTTTTCTCTGTCTCCTCTCTACTTCTAATCTTCACTCACTTTAGCTACTATCATACTGAGAGACTCTAAATGTTGCATCTACCTACCTACACTGCTCTGCAATTAATTCCAACACTTGTGCAGTCTTCTATGACTTGCACAACTCAATCATCTTGGCTTTCTTATGAAATGCTAATGATGGATTGCTTCACAATTGTGCTAACAACTATATATGTGCTGCATCAAACCATCCCCTATGCCTTGACATTGCTATTGGATCTGAAAATTTAGAGTCTGAAAGAAAAGCAAGAATTGCATGACATGATGTTTGATTCATATTTTCCATATTTTTTTCATCTTAACTTTAGGTTTTCCAACAAATCATGAATATGAAATTCATGAAACAAAGCTACCAAAAATCATTTCTGTCGGACAACTTAATAATTTGTTGAAATATATATATATATATAGCTCTGGTATCTTGATATCTACATTTGATGGCATAACTGCTATTGTTGACAGTGACATCCCACTCACATATCAAATTGGATGATGCTCATCTCCCCATCTCTCCTATAAAATGGGCCTTCTCCTCGTATCTAAGGAGGCACACAAAGTAACTGAGGAGGTGGAGGAAGGTTGTCTTTCTTCTTTTCCTTCTCAAGGGGAGAGGGAAAGACCCTTGCTCTTGCTTCGTTCCTTGATACATCCTTCTTCTGCTCTGCTTGCCTCGAGGTTCCATGGCTGGCCTATCACTGCAACACCCTTTACCTTTCACCTTCGGCATGCTAGGTGATCCTTCATTTGTTCTTTCATTTGTCTTCTGCACATCATTCGGTCAATTCAAGCTTCCAAACCCTTTTCATGAGGTTATTATCTTGGCATGTCTGCAAATCTACTGTCGTTTACGTTGTTCTAAGTACTGTAACCTTCTCTATTTCTTGTTCATCGCCTATTTTCCTTGCAATGTGTGTAATTAGCTTGTACATGACAAGAGTGCATGCATAAATGTTGTCTCTTTTTGGAGTATAATTACTCTATTAATATCATGAGATGTACATTTCCACAAGTACTCCTTACGTACTTGTGCTACTCCTTCATGCAAAACCTCTTCTTCCATGGAATATTACTGATAGCTAAGGATGACGAATTGGCAGGCAACCTCATCTCCTTCATGGTTTTTCTCGCCCCAATGTAAGCATCACACTTCTCTGTTCTGATTTCACTTTTATGGATTTGCTGCCTCAATGTGACGACGCTCGGTACTGCTGCTCATCATCACAGCCCCACGTTCTATCGAGTTTACCGGAAGAAATCAACAGAAGGGTTCCACTCCCTGCCTTACGTTGTTGCTGTGTTCAGCTGCATGCTGTGGATCTACTACGCTTATGTCAAGACGGATTCCATCCTCCTCATCACCATAAACTCCTTCGGAGTATTCATCGAGACAGCCTACATCACCATCTACCTCATCTACGCCCCCAAGAAGACTAGGGTTAGTATACATCATACATAGATCATCCATATATAGACTACTGTACTAATTCATTTCGAGTTGCAGATCATGTCTATGCGAATATTCGTGCTCTTGAATGTGGTAGTGTTTGCCGCGATCATTCTCTTGACTCAGCTACTCTTCACTGGCTCCATTCGCTTGAAGGTGCTTGGATGGATCTGCGTCGGCTTTTCCGTCAGTGTCTTTGCTGCTCCGCTGAGCGTCATAGTAAGAACTGAAACGGTGGCTATGGTCTCGGTAAAATCTTGCTACAGATCCAACTGATGCTCTTCATTGAATCAAATGTTCAGAGGCTGGTTATCCGTACAAAGAGCGTAGAGTTTCTGCCGTTCTACCTCTCCTTCTTCCTCACGCTGAGCGCGATCGCGTGGTTCGGCTACGGCCTGTTCACCAAGGACATCTATGTTCAGGTGATCGTGACTGAAAACCTGTTTCGTGTGTGATATATATATATATATATGCTTCCCTGACACCTTGTTCTCTGGCCAAAGCAGCTCCCGAACGTGCTGGGCTTCCTATTTGGAGTCGCACAAATGGTACTCTACATAGTCTACAAGAAGAAGAAGAACGTCGTCGTGGAGCCGGCGGGGATCGAACACATCGTCAGGATTGCGGAGCTGGCGATAGCTCCAGCTTCGGAGTTGCAGGCCGGCGTCGAGGAGAACGATCACCGGAAGAAGGCGAGTGAGGGCAGTACTGAAGGCGTAGAGAAGGCAAAGATGGCAGCCGAAGAAGGGATTGAGATTGACGCAGTATGAAGCATGGCCTCGAATGAAGATGTCGCAGCATTACATCACTTCCATCAAATTCCTCCACGTCATAGGCTTTAGTCTTGTCCTGACTATAAAAGATTGAGTTTCCATCCACTTGTATCATCAAAAGGAAGGCAAAAGGGTGCAGTGTGTCTACTTATCGTTTTCGCATTAGTAAACTACTTTGTGAGAAACGCTCGTACACATAGCGACATGTTCATCATCGTTCCCTCCGATGCTGCTGGAATCCCAAGCAATATGGCTAGTGGGGTTCTGATGACATAATAAATAACTCCAAGCAGCGATTCTCAGACACAACTCTCACATACTTTTTCTCAAACAATACGAATCATTAATTCTTGCGCCGAAGTCAAACGTTAATCCCGGAATCTGTATGTGTGTGTGTGTGTGATGAGAAAGAGTCCCCTTATGTTTCCTACTTTTTCTTACCCTCTCTCGAGAGACATGCAGGCAGCAGAGATTGACTTCTTCATGGGTTAGAAAGAAAAGGAATTCTACTTCTTTTCAGGCCAATAAAAGTTAATCATATGCAGCAAAAGGCAATTGAAAGGACAATGATTGAAGTAACCAAGAAACGGCAGCAAGACAACTTTCAGAACCTTACGAAAAGCTTATTATTAGACTGCCTATTTACCATCTTTCTTGCTTATCTACCATCAAGCAACAAAATTGTTCTGCAACACATCCCAAATCCAGAGACATTCAACACCTACGCAGTCTATCCGTTGATGGATCAGCCTCTGCTTCATTAATTAGCTCACTTGATCAAACCTACATGCCTCAAACTGGTAGCTGAACATGACAACCAAGTCCTCTCAGTGCTGCCATATCACCTGTGGAGCCATTGGCGAAGCTGTGTGCCCACCCACATATCTTCATAGGTGGGGTAGGCTTTTTGACACAAATCATTATCCTTCCACCAGTACAAACTCATTGTGATTTGAGAGACTCCAAGATGAGGAAACTAGAAATTGTCGATTTCCAGTGATGTATGTTTCTTTCCTTCCACGTTTGTTGATATCACCTTTAGTTTGACATCTACTGGCCAACGAACACATGCAATATATATCTTGCTATGGAGCTAAGAAATGTTAGATCTCTTAGGCGTATGAACTTTCTTCCGGATTAATAACTACGTGGTCGAATGGAAACCTCAGTGACAATTCCACGATAAGTAGAACATATTATGAGAGAGGCAAAGCTGGCAAGAACGCGCAAGGGTGTACAAGCATGAACACAACACTCGATAGGACTTCATGCATGAACCCTTGTCCTCTCTCTCTCTCTCTCTCTCTCTCTCTCTCACGGCATATGCTTGCATTCCTGCGCGTCTCTATTTTGTCTAATGGTCTGAATTAAAATTTGTTTTCTTTAGGGGTTAGTGATTTTGTCTTTGATGACGATATCTCGCTCCCTTGTTTGTCTTAATGTTGCTTTTACCAATATTATATAGCCTCTTTTCTACTAATTTTATGTCCGATCCTTATATTATTTGATGCTTTGATTACAATTTTGTACAAGTATAAATTTATCTATTTTATTGTTTATAATTGTTTATATTATGCTATCTTATACCAATCTCTCGTCATATTATACATTGTAAATATTATGGTGTCTTATGTGATTTTATGGTTGTTATTTTAGTTTATAATAGTTTCTGAATGTTATATCATCTTGAAAAAAATAAGGCAGGTAATAAGAAAAAAAAAAGATATAATATCTCTGGAATCTGCAAATCAATTTCTGAGAGACTCAAAAATAGTTTGGAAGACAATCCGATTCCACTCCATACGAAATAATACACAAAGTGAACAAAGGCATGTTAGGTTATACGGATGAGCAAAACCACCATAATGAACACACAAATCATAATGAAGATCACAAGCCATGTGAAGCAGGTGGTCTTGAAACTTTCCGAGTAAACCTCGATCGCCCGTTTACTGGCACGGCTGGTGCTCGCCAAGCTATGCTCCACAGCGTTCTCAGTGGAATCAAGAATCTATTTAAGACATGAAACTCAAGTATGAAAGCTGCGTTGGTCTAAGCAGAGGAAGAAACTGACAAAACACAAACTCAAACAGGATATATGGAATTCATGAAAACCGTAATTTTCTTGCACGCCATCCATCATTGTGTAGTTTTTGTCCATGTTCCTAGACATCATGTTTGACTGTGCAAACAGGCTCCAAAAATCACCAAAAACAATACAATAAGTGTTTCAATTTTTTTTTATTTTGCTTTAAATTATGAAGTGATTTTGGATCTCCAGATCATGCTGCAAACAAAAATTTTGTTTCAGTGAATATGCCTGAATCTATTTGTTTAAATCAAGTCTCTAATTAACATGTGTTCAGTGGCAAAGCCATATTTCAACAGCAAGAGGAAAAGGAAAGACTAAGAGTCTGCAGATGTATAAACCAACACAGAGTTCCAAAGGAATAGAATTTCTCCGGTGTTTTCAAGATGGCATTGCAGCTTCAAACAAATTTTGGATGATGGCTGAAATCACTGGTGATACTTGGCTAGACCACAAGAGGTGATTAAGCATTCTACGTAGTGATGCCACTAAGGCTACAATAAGGACTAGCATGGATAGCAGAATAACTAAAGAAAGACTGCGAAATGTGAAAGCATATACAACAACAACGACAACAAAACTGTAAATCCCAACTATTTGGGGTCGGCTACATGGATCTTTTGTCACTATTGAAATCTGTAAAAACACTATATATTTAGTTTAGGTTGAAAGTATATCTACCACTAATTTTTTCAAAAATGAAGTTTGTGGCAGAAAAATTATTATTTTTTAAATAATGAGTGCGCTAAATGTCTCTGTTTGGCACACAGTCTTCTAAACTTTTTGTTAATTGTTAAGATCGGATGGCTGAGAAAGCACCATAATTAAATTAGAAATTGTAAGAGTTGTGAAACGAGGTTACATAAGCAAGAGAACGATGTATATCAAAATGGCCAAAATTTCAACTTGGAAATTCAATAGAGATTACGCAAGTTAAAGGATAAAATGACCATAAATAAGTTCTGGATTAGTGGTTTGAGAATCAAGTGGTCTGCATTGCATTGACTATTAAATTTATTCCTGCACTTCCTTAAAGTGATAACAAAAGCACAAGAGATCAACAAAAAAAAAAACAAAGAAAATTCTCAGTACCTTCTCTGTGTCTTGCACAGATCGGTTGATCAAGAGACTACCTTCCTTAAGCTGTCGTGCTAAGGCAACCAAATCATCTGTTAAATCTTCTTGAAGCTTTCTGTTTATGAAAAAGTCAAGAAATAGTGCAAAAGAAAATTTCGATTATATAAGATATATCAATTTCAGATCTAGCTATTGAGTGGCAAAGCTAGTAAAAATAAGCAGATAAGCCCTTTGATGACAATATGACAAATAGGCATACTTTATCACAAGTGTCAAGCAGTAAGATACAACTCTGTCGCATCATCTACTTACAGCCAGGACAAAAAGAACACCTTGAAATATAGATGAAGAGTCCCACAGTTTAACCAAAAATTACAGTTTATTAAGATATGAAATAAATAAACCACCTTATGAAAAGTTACTTTTTGCTCAAAATTAAATTTCTTGATGAGGACCACATATAATTTTCTCATTACTTGATCATGTTCCTTTTATTTTCTTTTCAAATATCAGTCCAAACATGTTATCTACTCTGTTTCAGGACTATTCCTATCCTGGGTTCACCTCCAATGCCATCAGAGATGTCAAAGGACAACTACCATGCTCAAAGCTTTCCCACCTCCATAGAAGCCACCAAGATCCATCAAAGCAGCTGTCCTCCACTCACCAGACAATCATAAATTTTCATTCCCCTTCCTCTTGGTCATTTTAATTTTTGTTCATATTTCATTTGTCTCTGGCGGTACTCAGGCTCTATGGGAATGAACCAATCCAAGCCGATTTAATCCTAAATTGGCTGGTCCAGCAGATATCATCATGGCACAATGGAGGGGCAAGACCCAATATTTTGATATGTTTTAGACTACTGATATAGAACTCAAATTTAAATAATAAAAAAAGGAGCTGCCTATGATATACATCCAATTTTTTTATGCACAACCAAAGGGTATTCTGGAAACAGGAGCCTTTTACAGCAATGAACTGACATGATTTATTTTTTTTCTTTATCCTTTTAGGAGACAGCACCTAACCAGTTTGCAATGCACAAACTTCTAAAATAATCCACAGCAAAGTTTAAATTCTGGTTCATAGTAGTTGATGTCCACCAGTGGAACGCCAGGATTACGGCCAACATCACAGTGTATCAATGAAAAAAGATACCAAAATAAGGAAAAGGATAAAACAGGGACTTGTAGGTGAGTCCCTCCTCCACATCATTTGATTAAGGCCAAAGACCACGTATCCTCTTATTCATCTTCTCTTCCTCTTTTTTCTTTCACTTCCTCTTCTCTTCTCTTTTTCTCTTTTTCTGCTCCACCATTACCTGAATGAACAGATGTTATGAAGCTCACTCAAGGTTTCATGCTCTAAAGAAGCAAACTGGTGCTTATTTTTACCCTGTCAAGTTCCAAGACTGATGGGCACAGCTAGCCAGACTTTAAAGCATTACAGAAAAGCCTGGTCAAAACCATGTTATGTTTTATACCTGAGGGTGGCCAACTTACCATCCTATAATTGTGGATTGATAATAAATGGACCATATCGGTCCAACAAGTTTTAAAGCTGTGGTCCCTAATGAGGTCAAAGGAGACTATAAGAGTAAACAAACAAACAAAATAGATTAGCAAAACAAGATTAAGAGGTCTTATTAGTTTGCGTGCACTATGATGAAATTTATCACACAGGTAGAAGAAATGTCTCACCAAAAGGAGGAAAATAAAACTCTCTTTGCAAACAATTATCATTTGAATAAACAAGCATATAACATACCTATGCTTCTCAATATGATCCAGTGCTGATGCATCCAATTTAACTGGCATTGCTGAATCCTTCTCCTTTGCATCATGACTGCTTTCCTTGGTTTCCATCTTAGCTCTATGCAGCATTTGACAGGAAGAGTTGTTTGATATATACCACAGGAAACATGCAAGGCACCAACTATATAGAATACAAGTATCTGCATTATTACTTACGTGGGCCTCCTCCTCAATCCTGGAAGAGAGCTTGTATAATTCACAGTCTGCTCTGTGCTGGATGGGCCCTCCTCTTTAGCTTCATGAGTAGCCTCTTCATGTTCTGCCTGATACAATTGTTACTAATATTTACAGAACTAAATGAAATATGGAACACAAGAACTGCAGTAATCAAAAGAACTGCAGCTAAATTATGAAATTCACATCAAGAGGACACTGAATATATACAAACTGAGTTATCAAACATGATAATAAATAAATAGATTCCTATTTGCAGAGTAAGGCAAAATGAAATAAGAATAAAAACACTGGAAATAAGATTCTCTAAATACAACTGTTCATTAAAACGACTCGCGAGCAACTCTATGGTATGTATCAACCATATGCATGCAGCAGCATATGTCATGGCACAGTATCATCATGATGCTGGCCCTGAACTGCATGTGCATCAGATGAGCAGTGAAGATTTATTTATATGCAGGTGAGGCTCTTGGAATGGGCACTTGTCCATTCCCTTAACCGGTACCTGCATGGCCACTTTGACAATCTATATTGAAAACAACATCATCCATCAAAATATACAAGCTATATAACTTGGACTAATATATTCTTTCAGTTCGCTTCACTCAGCTTCATGATTACATAAAATAGCTATCAACAAGCATCAGATGTAAACCATAACATAGCAAATGCATCATTAACTCCTTGCTTAAATGGTAACTTACACCATTTAGGAATAAATATCTGTTGCTTAGAAACTAAATAGATGATTTCTGATATCTGCGAGTCCAGTGTCCAATAAATTCAAAAGACAATGGAATTTGTAACAATGCAAAAGAGACAAGTTTACCAGTGGAGCAGCTAACTTGGCAGCAAGGGCTTCAATCCTCTCAGAGTATTCATTCAATTTTGCTTTTGGGATACTGATTATATGAGATTGTGTCAGTATAAAAATGAGTTACAGAGATGATGCTCGAGTCAGCTTGTTAAAACCACAAACATCCTAATTTGTAATAAAGAAATCACTGGCACAGATGAGATTAGCTTAGCTCTTTGGAAAAGAGTTCGCTGAAAAAAAGCTCTTTCCTGAGTATTTTAGAATTTAATATCGAGCATGTACTTCCAATTGGTTACTCTTTCCATAAAAGACAGATTAGAAGTTGTAAAGCCAGAGTAACAATGTTAATGAAATTAATGCTTGAAAAACTACTAGGACTTATAAAAATACAGATATTAGTCAGCAATGAAATTTTAAGTTTCTCATTGAAGAATTATTTGTTTTATAAGAAAGCAAATGGCAACAGAGTGTTTTAAAATCAACTTATTGAAGTCTCATTAATATTAATTGAAATATGATTGTAAATTTAGCATATGATGTTTGGATAAATGATGCAGCTACATTACACATGCAATACTTTCCAAACAAGCTCTGTAGACAGCTTGGTTCCACAGGCTCAAAGGATTCAGAGATATGGCATTGGATGACAGTGTAAGTATTAAGGGAAAAGATATGGAATAAAGAGCTGCTATTTGTTGGTTTATCTGTAACTAGAGGGTAGCAGCGGAGCAAAGAGATTAAATAAAAATGAAAAATAGAAAGGGGATTGAAATGTAAAAGAACTATCATGAGCATAGAGAATGAAGGAAGATAAGTGTGTGCCAGGATATAAGCTTACTCAAAGATTCCACAGAGAAAAACAGGCTAAAACCCTCACATAAGGTGTAGTCAAACATTTTTCTACCTCATTAAGGAATCTTTTCGAGAAAACTGTTCAAATCTTTATAAATCTTTCTTAGATGCACTTCTGATGCAGGCCAAAAGCTCGTGACGAAGAGGTTTTTTTGTGAGAATAACGAAAATTAGAGAAAAGAAGGATAATAATTAAAAGGTAACAAAAAAAGAAATGGATAACTATTAGGTCCACTCAGCCTCAAGGAAATACATGAGGAATGAATGTCTTGTACCTTTGGACATTTGACATGTATATGATCCAATTATGCCATCAGCAAATCAAATATAACTTCATACCACTCACACGTACTGTGAAAAAGAAAATGCACCCCTCATTTATTAATAATCACATTCTTTGATCCATTTACAAACCCTTTTCCTTTTTTTATAGACCCCAATAACAAGATGAAAACACACAAATAATGCAAAATTACTAAATAAAAAAGAATCATTTACTCTAACCTTTTCTTCTTCGAAGAGGATTAATTTTCATATATATTTTGGAGGATAATCTTGATTGATAGCCTTTAATCTTTCTTCAATCTTTATAGAATGATGAAGCTTCTTGTAGAGATGAATCAATTTACACACACACACATTGTCATATAATATACCATAAATATTTAACTATTTTGTATGATTCAATTCATACCATGGTACATCAGGTATGGTATTGCTAGCAGCAGTATATGTCTATGGAAAATTATAAAATATAAAAAAGAAAATCTATGCACCACCTTTACTTCAGTATAATCAATATACATCATATTGTATGAGATTAGCTGGTAAATGCCAGCCTCTACTGTTGGAATGGTTTGATATTCAAATGCTCACCACTAGCACTAGTTACATCATTAAAAACAATAAAAAAGACCAACTGTTTAATATGGGCACACCTAAAAAGTGCTTGTTCAACAAATGATAATGAAATATCAAATTTTGCATTCATCTCATTTATCATCCAATATTTTACACAAAGTAAATTTGTGCCACTAAACATTAAAATCAAAGCAAAAATGGAAAAAAAAAGGCATATTTGGTTTCTTGTTAGCTTAAGAAGGTGTAAAAGATGCAGTACTTTAGTTGTTATTAACACAACAAATCTAGAAATGGTTAGTGAAATAAAAAAGCATCTTCCACAAAAGAACAACTTACACAACTTTGGAACATTTTAGATGACATGCATTTATGTTAATAACAAGATTTGTCTATACATAGAGGTAATAGAGACATATCTATGCATATCATTCATTGATAACAACACAAATATGCCATAGATCTTCACTCTAGAAATCAATCAATACAAAAAGTGATTTACAGTTTTTCCTTCTAGCTTGATCAGTTAAAGCTTTAATTTCGCATATGGGGTTAAGCTTGCTTTTTGTTGCAAGGTCAAAGATTGTTATTCAATAAACATTTGCATGTTAACACAAGCCGTACCACCTAATTTAGCAAGCTAGTGTAAATAAAATTGCTTGGATGTTAAAATATTCTATTGGTAACTGGTGCTTGATTGAGTACAATAAAAATCTAGTGTGATTTGAGTACAATAAAATGCCTAAGGTGCTAGGCATCCGCCCTAATGAAGCAAGGTGCTCCAAAATATTAAAATTTTAAAAATATATATTACAATAGGTATATATGGTCATAAAAATAAAAATGGCACATCAAATTGAAATCATATAAAGTATCATATTATATTGTCCATCTTCTAATAACAAAAATGTCAATAACAACATATCATGCGATATGCTGCAAGCCTACACATGATAGGATGCTAACTGTTATGTTCTAAGCGCATTGTTTTCAAAAGGGATGAAATTTGAGATGGATGTTAACTGCTAATCAGTGTTTTTTAACTGCTGTTATGTTCTAAACAGTGTTCTATGCAATGTTTTCATATCAATATGATATATGTGGCGAAACAAAAATATGCTGAACAGGTTTCTACTGATGGAGACCTAAGCTTTATAGATTTCTAACCAATGCTAAACAGTTCTAAATTGTGGATCAATATGTTGTTAAACAGTTTTAATCAGTGCTAAACAGTTCTAAAGATATAATTAAGAAGAGGAGTAACCAACGACTATGGAGGAAGGTGGGGGAAGGAGAGGGCTGCAGACAAAAGTGGCGGCGACAGACTGCGGATGAAGGCAGCAGTGACGGCTAGAGCTGCAGACAAAGACGTTGGGAACAAACGTAGGGTTTCTATTCGAAGACAATCTAGTGGTGGAGGGGTTTGTGTTAGGGAATATTAGTTGATTCGATTGAACCAACTTGCTTGTTCAATTGAACCAAGCATGGACCTAGACCCAAATTCACTCGGGTGCTCGCTTGAGGCGCCCAACGCCTAGGCTCAAGCGAGTGCCTGAGCAAAGCTTCAACGAAGTGCCTCGCCCAGAGGTTTCGCGCAACGCTCAGGCCTCACCTCACTCAAGTACCTTTTGAAAACACAGTGTGATCAAACCTTCTCAATGATACTCTGCTGCCTGACTTTTCTCTAGCTTCCCATTTGTGCTATCATTTGACCTGCACCACTTCCCCTCTGCTTATGCTACGATAAATTACTTCCTTTGTCTTTACATTAATGTTATGTCTTTTGCTTTTGTCCTCTTGCTCCCAGAAAGTGACCATTAGGGCAATGCTTGAAATATGAGTTATTTTTAATATGCAATGAAGCCCAAGAAAAAAATTATCAAATACAATATCTAGTAATGTTTTCTTATATGGCAAAAAATGAAATAAGAAAGGCAATTATTCAAAACAGATAAACAAACCTTGGTGCTCCTTGTGGTGTAGTCTCAGCACCTAATTGCTCTAATTGTTCCCTTAATGTGGTGACATACTGCCAAAGTTAATGAATTTTTAGTCAATATAAGAATCTATTGTTAACTTATGCAAACCTAAAAAAACACCAGAAGATATATGTTGGTTGTTCTTCTTCAATTATAGAGTTCTTAGAGGTTCTACAATAATCGGAAGATTCAAGTAAAATAAAGAATTTTGTGTAACTAAACCTGTCTTCTCAAATTTTGTGCAGGCCATGAGCTTTCATGATGAACCAAGGGAAACTCCAAACATAAAAATTTTGTCCACTATTGCATGGTCAACATGTCATGAGGGCACATATCTGGGTTATGTCCATAAGTGCTTTCTATCCTAACCACAATAGTGACTCCTGATACCCAAAGTTTTAGAAAATAGGTGTGCAAAAGTAGCGACATCAAACTTAGTTATATTTGATCTAACAAAGTACTACGGTTTTCTGAAGCAACATCTCATCAAGTAATTGCAATGGCCTTTGACAAGATGTTTCCATTATTGTTGCATGTGTGAGCAATGTGTAAAAGTTGCCCAACATTATTTTCAGAACATTATTTTTATCATCAATGCCTACATTTGCATATGGATATGGTTTTACTTAGTAAAAAATTTATACATTATGACGCTGCCATGGAAGATCAATTGAGGCTACGAGAATATACACTTACATAAACGTAAAAGTCTTAAATCGAAGGGCCATGTAATTCAGACTACCAATTTTCTTACACTAATAAAATATTGAAATATGCACTATGATTGTTCAGAAAAATTAGTATCTTTATTTTGCAATGAATAGAAAACATATAAATTGCAGAAGCTACATTAATAATGCTAGAATAAAAAAATAAAGAAAGCATCAAGATTTAACACTTTCTTCCAATAGGTTAATTAATATTTTCAGTGTTAACTAGCTTTAGAATATTTAACGGTTTAAAATACACCCAAGCATGCATGAATCATGGTCATAACTATGGAAATTTGTCTGTCACGAGTATGATAATCGAGGATGGCATATTAAATACAAATGAGCAACTCTGTCGCATGGAATGCAGGAGAAGGTGCAATTGGTGAACTTTCTTCCCAGCCTTGGGGTTTCACTTACATGTATGAGCTTTGTTTGATTCTTCTGTCGTGGAGCAGCATCCAACAATCTTCTCAAATTAATTTCAGTCTTGCTGAGACCCATCGGAAGTACCTAAGAACAACAATGTCATCATCATAAAATAAAGGAAAAAAAGTTGGCACAAGCATGAACTACATATCAACATTTGGTAGTTGAAACTTAAGAAGGGAGCACTAACCAGAAAAAACAAAACAAAACTATTGTCTAATGCAAGCCAAATTCTAGTGGTCAGCAGATTGTATGTGAAATCTAGCAGTCAGGGCTTCAACTTCAGTGATTAGCATAATATCACCAAAATCTAATCCAAGCCACTTATCACTTGTACTCCCTGTGATACAAGATAGCATACTTATCTCTGAGGAGACATCCTAGTGGTCAGTGGATTGTATGTGCAGTCAAGCGGTCACGGCTTTGAGTTACATGATATGTGTATAGTGCATGCATTATCATTATACTTATATATGGAGGAGAAAATAACTAACAAAAAACAAGACTGACATACATAGATATTCTGAGTTCCCTACCAGAAAGACTACCAACAGATCCATCTATAATTAAGATCTACAATTCTGCAATTAGCATCTACTGCCAGCAAAGCTTATCCCTTTTCAGCCACCTGATACCATAAACTATTGAGAAACTTATTGGACGGTCAATTTTTTGCTATCTAAACTTGTCAATCTTGATCGAGCATATGATGTCATCCCATTTTGCATCGATTCTACACGAACCTGCGTTTGATCTGTACAATTGTTCTACAGTTGACCTTGTTTCTCGATCCTGAAATCAAACAGTAAAGAACTTGCTCCCAACTGTCATCAGGAGCCAGAATCATACAGACAAAGATATACCATAAAGATACATCCAAAAAGAATTCCTTCAAAGGAGGTGGAGAAAACACCAAGAACCACCACGATGCAAGCTGCCAATAAAGAAAAAATTGGGTGCGATATAAATATCCTTGAATTATAGACGCTATGGAGTCACAATGCCATTCGATTTCGCATAGAAGTTATTAACCACATAGGCAAAGGACAACACAACTCGATAAATCGCCAGCCTCCACAATAGGCTCGCCGGGATAAAGAGAGCGAACCTCGCCGCCGTCGAAGGGCCAGCGGTTGAAGAGCTTATCATCCTGCTGGATCGCCATTAAAGCCGCGCCTGCAGGAACCCGAGGCGAGAGCGAGAGCGGCGACCAGAAAACCCTAACGGAGAAGGGTCCGACGGGCGGCAGTTACGTTTGCGACACGCCGAAGATCCAAAATTAATGGCCAGTCCAAAACAAATAGGCCCTTTTTACACGTACATCCCTAACAATTGTACAAATTACATATTTACTGTTCGAACATGTTTACATCTATTGAAAACCTTTCAAGCCGCATTACTTTGCATTACAACCCTCGAGATTACAAAAGATCCTATCGCCTGAAAACACTTTTTGAATTCAGTTTATGATGCCAAAATCATAGATTTTATAAAAATATTTTTAAAAATAAAAATGTATATCTGTTAGAAAACTATAGATTAAATAATCAATAAATTGGATTCGTCTCCCCTTCCAATCCAACAATCGGGTGGGCTATTGGACCGGCCCACATTGTATAATCCTTCTATATTTCATACATGCAAACCTATAACTTAATCCGTAAATTATGATGATTTTTTATAATATTTATAGATTGGAACAAAGCATTTGTCATGATCCTAAACTTTTCATCACACAAAAGAATATTTTTGTGACAACATTAGTGATAATATTGTGATTAATTCATAAATTTGAAGGATTTAGGATGAAAATCTAATGACAAACCATGTTTCTGCATTTTAAAAAATTAATTTAGTTCTAAATGATTCAACATATCGTCTTTTAGTGACATACCTAAATATTAAGTGTACAAAATTTATAAGCAGCTGTTGTGGTGGAGGGGATTGCATTCTTATTATATTTCCAAGTCTAGCCGTCATTAGAAAGATATAACTTAGCCAATTCTCATCAACCGTTTTCTACCTTCTTAGAGTTTTAATGCTTGTCCACCAACAAAAATCAATGCGGTGCATGTATACCAATGGGTATCCTCACCAAATGTAAATTATTTCATGAAACTAGAGTAAACTTTTTCTTTGGAATTTAAAATGAGTCTTTGACTCTAAGTGGCCCTTAATCATATTTAGTCTAAATAACACAATTTAACATATCTTCTTATAACATTTATGTTTTGATACTTAGGAAAGAATCTTATACTCAATCTTATACAAAGAAATATCACCTTTAAAAGGGATAATCCTGACACCCTCCAATTTTTCGTGCCACGTAGGCAATATCTAAAACCATTTTTTACTAATCCTACAGTCGAAAAAATAAACTTGATTCCACATTAATGGTCGATGGCATGGCCCGGCCTTACCAACCTTTCCTTCCGAATGAATGACGAGGTTGCCATGCCCTGCTTGACCCTAAAAAGTGAGGAAGCTCGACTAGAGACATCATCCCGATAGTCCCCAAACACTTCCTCTGGGAGCACATGTTGGTAAGCCACCCACGTTAAATATTTTCACCATGTAGGGTAAGGGGGGGCATTAAAGGAGGTCCTTTGGTTCCACCTAGCACCCAGATATAAAAGCCTTGCCTCGAGCTAAACTGGGGCAAGCAAGCAAAAGAGACTCTTTACTCTCTTGATTACATTGCTGAGTTTTCCTCCCCCTATACTTTCCTGACTTAAGTATCGAAAGGGTCGAGTTGGGATACTCCCGGCGTAAGCCTATTGTGCAGAGTCATTAGCATAGCCCGAAGGTGCGACCAAAAGGCTACATAGTAGAAGGGACCACCCAGCTCCCAAACCAAGCTTTATCGCTCGAAGACTAAGCCACTCTTAGTGAATCACCTCTCCATATATATTCCTTTGTCATGCCCATAATGCATGCTCTCCACATCAGCTAGGAGGAGCTAGCAGAAGGGACCTGCACTTTCGACAAAGAACCAACTGGGCCAACTCACCAATTGACAATCTTAGTGTGCTAATATTTTGGCATTAGAAGGAGGGCCAAACGTCACAGGAACATCCTTCTACCACTCTTAACAAGCGCTCCAACAAGGAGACGCTACCTACAGCCTCTAGCACTTTTGAGCAAAGAGGGCACACACCTCGCTTCCAATAGAACGATGCATCTACCTTGGCCTAGATGCCAAGGCCCTACTAGCGCCTTCTTAACGACCTAGGACTTTCCCCTCTAAGGTTGGGAGTGGGCTCCCTACTCATCCCGTTAGAGGTGCTCTTGGGCCACACTCAGTAGGTCCATACCCTCACCTACATGATGCAAGCCATCGCTCTACTCCTCCCTCTATTGATGCAGTTGGCGATTCTGATATAATGGCCCACCCTCCAACCGTCGGCTGCACATCCTCCACTTGAGGCTCAACCGAAGAGTCCACGCCCTACCTTCCAATAACCTTCTTGACTAGAAGGGATGGTCAGTGCTGCACCACACCCTCCGATGGCAAGCTCAGTGCTCCGCCAAGTCACACCCAATCCCTAGCAAAGTCTAAGGCACAGTCCATTGATTCTTGGGAACTCTTGATGATGGCACAACTCAAGCCATGAATCGGAGGCTAGACGAGTTTCAGTAGGAATTTTGGCACCCCTATGGTGAACTCGATACGCCCCACGTATCCCCTTTTATTTAGAGAATCTAGGAGGAGCTCATCCTAGCCAACTTCCGCCTCCCTAGTTTAGGAACCTTCGATGGCAGCTCCGACCTTGTAGAACACGCCTTCATGTTCCAGGTCTAGATATCTTTGTTCAGCACTTTGAATGTTCTGATGTGTCATGCATTCCCAATGATACTAAGGGGGTCAATCCAAGAATGGTATAGTCGTCTCAAGCCCCTTTCAATTACTTCTTTTTCACAACTCGCCAAAGAGTTTAAGCTATACTTCTTTGCTAATGTGCAACCAAAACTTTTGACCACTATCTTGCTTAGGCTTAGGCAAAGGGAGGATGGGTGCCTATCCGACTTCGTCACCCGGTTCACTGGGAATATCTAAGGGATTCAAGATGTCCACCTCTAATTAATAATCTAAGCTTTCATGATGGGCCTAAGACCTTCCTGCTTTTTTTGGTTGTTAATCAAAAGACCTCCTATGATCGTCCTAGAGATGTTCAAAGGGCCAACTAATACACATTATCCAAAGCCATAATCTCATGATGTTGGGAGGACAACAAGAGGGTGCGTCATGAATCTTAGGTCCTAGCCCCGGAGTTGTCCTAGAGAAGGCATCCTTGAACAAATGATTCACGGGAGAGAATGTGGTTACTCCCCCATAATATGACGAGGATGGATATTTTTCTCTAAATAAACAAGAAGGGCCTCCTAAAGAAGTCCAGACCCATGAGAGAGTCTCTGGAGGAGAGGAATAGATCCAAGTACTATCATCCACTAAGACTACGAACATGACACAGAAGAGTGTCGGGACCTGAGACACCAAATTAAGGAACTTATTAGGAAGGGTCACCTAGGAAGGCACCAGGGCCAACCCCTAAAGTATTTCTATTAAATCTCAAATTTTGATTATGAAATCAATTGATAAAGTTATGATCTAATCATCGTTTGAGTGACGCAGGACTAACTTCAATTATGGAAAGATAAATCGATTGAAGTAGGAGAATCATACGTTGGGTTAGAGAGCATAATGTTAGAAGATTAGTCAATATACCAGTAGAAGGACTTTATGCCAAGAGTTGAGGCATCGGGCCAAAAGAATCAAATATTGCGCCAAGGAGATCGAATGTTGTGGGAGGTCAATATGTCGATGGATCGGGTAATACACCGAAGGAGAGGATGATGCACCGAAGGTTCGAACAAAGTGCCAGATGAACCAATAACATACAGGATAACATAGGATTCATGTTTGTAATCGGTCGTATCTTGATTGAAGTAGTGCTAGTCATAGGTGTTTTGTAAGCTAATCACGTGAGTGATGACACGTGTGACTTGACATACAATCTTTTTGCTTATTATTATTATTTAATATTTTATCACTTTATATTGATTGTTATATATACACACACTTTATATTTGACATTTTATCACTTTATATTGATGTTTATGGATCTGTGCAATAAAAATCATATCATGATGAGATCACGATAATGAGACCGATTCACCTTTAAATACAAAATCTAAATAATCCTAGTCTTAGGTTACTTGAGAAAGACATCGATATTTGTTTATTTTTCTACAAAATCTACATGTTATTTATTTTTACTATATCTTTATTTTTAGAAATTTATCGCATTAAATCCATTACGTGACATACTTGATGTCAACCGCCTTATTAGTCCAAATTACATCGATTGGCTCCGCAAATTGAAAATCATTCTCACGGTAGTGAAAATCATGTATGTCCTTGATATAGTGACTACGCCCGAGAAAAGGGTAAGCGAGGATGAGATCGCTTGCTCTGTGAAGTACACAAACGATTCCACTCTTGCTCAGTATCACATGTTGGGCTCTATAACTCCAGAGTTATAGAGATAGTATGAATAGATGGATGTTAGATCCATTCTCTTATATCTCCGTAAATTGTTTGAGGAACAGGGTAGGACTAAGCGATATGAGATATTCAAGAGTCTCTTCCGTCCCTACCAAATTTCTTTTCTCGATTTATAATGAATTTTAATATAAACAAGCTTGAGGTGACTCTCTTTAAGCTCCTCAATATGTTGAGGGAGGCAAAGAGCACCATCATGAAAGAGAAGTCAGTTCTTTGTGTTGGTGAGACTAGAAAGAAAAGGAAGCCAGAAAAAGTCCCTTAAGAAGGGCAATGGCAAGGGCAGATCGGGTAAAGAAAAGGTTGCTAAGAAAGACCTAGCAAAGGATAAATGCTAGTGCTTCCACTACGGCAAAGATGGGCACTAGAAGAGGAACTACAAAAAGTACCTTATAGAGAGGGCGAAACAGAAGCTTGGAGAAGCTTCAAGTACATTCATGATCAGTCTCCAATTATCAGATTTTTGTGATAGTGCATTTGTATTGAATACCGATAGTGCTTATCACAACTACAATTTATTATAGATTCTAGCAAAGCCTAAGAGATTGGCGTAAGGTAAGGAACATTACATAATAGATGAACGTGAAAATCATATTCCTCAACGGCAATCTCAATGAGGAGGTATATATGATATAGCTTGAGAGATTCATGTCCAAGGACGATCCTTATAAGGTATGCAAATTG